TAGAGAAGAGTTTACAAAGAAATCAAGTCCATGAAAGAGCATGCCTTTGATAAAGTATAGAGTACATAGAATAACTAAAAAGTGAGATAATGAATAGCAACCATAAATTGACTGTCTAAATGAACAACATAAGCAACACCAGGTTGAGTCACTATGAGATAGGCTAGAACCACCAATCAGTTTACAATGACCAATAAAAAGACTACCATCCATTAGAGTAAGTTTAGCATTAGGGTTCAAAGGAGTGGAGACAATTTTGATATCAATAATATCAACTTGAGAAAACAAGTCAGAAGCATACTTAACTTGAGAAAAATAGTAATTATCACGACCTAAACTAGGGGTCCATGATTGACGCACGAGCTTAGCAAGCAAGCCCACTAGACCCAAGCAAGCCTCAGAGTTCACAACCATATAACACAAAGCTAAGGGATTCCTTAATCAAATGTTCACCTTAAAACTAAATATAATATATTATCCCAGGCACATAATTCATACAAATGTTTATAGGGCCATGCATTGGCCATCCAAGATGGGTTGGCATGTAACGACCCTTACACAAGTCAAATGGCACATCTTGCTTGTATACATTGCAACCAACCATATAAGGAAGCTTGTGACAGACTCAGTGGATTGAAACATCAAAACAGAGACCTACCGAATGCCAAAATCAATCTATAGCTGGGCAACTTTTACCACATAGCTTTATGGCCTATTTATCTGCACATGGTACATAAATGGGTGAGTATTATAGTGCTTAGTGAGTGATGCAGATAAACAAAATCATACATACATACATATATATATATATATATAATATAACACATAATAAATATTGCACTCTCGATGCAACCACATAATCCAACAAACATCTTTAGACATAGACCATATCATTATCCCTAAAATCTCCAATGTGAGGGCATACCATCATTCTCAATGTCTCCAAAGATTATCACATATATCATTAGGCTTGCCCTTAAAATCGATCAAAGTTATTCAAATCATTCTCCTTGGCACACTCTAGTTGCCGGAGTATCACATCATATTCATATCATATTTATCTAAGCCTCTCCATGGCTATCTCACATCATACGCAAACCAAATCAAAGAGTTGTCCTCCCCTAGACATAGTCAAATCATGCTTGGTGGCCAACCAGCAAAGAATCAAATCACGCTCAAGGTAAAACCACTGACGGATAAGCAAATCACGCATGTACTGAAGCAAAAGGCGGAGAACAAATCATGCATAGTGTCGAAGTAGCTAGTGGAGAATCAAATCATCGATTATAGAAATCTCCCGACAATCAGCATCACTTGAAGTTTTCTCAAACAGGGTGGCATCAAAGCACTGCACATGGGAATCATAAGCAAGACTAATACCACCATCCTTGCTTACCGCCATCCCTACAGGCACACACATAGTCACAAGGAATCGAGACTCCACTAATCCAAAAATTAGATCAACGTCTGAGATTCATCCCTCTAATGGAAACATAAATCCACATATAAGGTCATCATGCCTTTATCATTCACATCTTCCTCATCGAACGACAGCTCACATTTATCGAGCTTCAAGCGTCTTTAGCTTGATTAGGTTCTAAATGCTTTTAAATCTCCAAGGCATCATTGGATCAATTTCTCTTAACATATCCTTCATCTAAGGAAATCTACTCCTAAGTTTCATTATAGTCTCTAGACATTCTAATCTAGGCATACACAGCATAGGCCACCCATGTGGCTCACATCACATCACATAAACACCTATTCCACAATTTGGTTCTCCAGCCAAGGCACTTACATCTAGGCAATCATATATATATATATATATATACACATATATATACATACACACATTCTTATATCATGACAGCTCCTTTATCAAGGCATCATGCATCACACATATGTTATTCAAACTCACTCATAGTGACATATTAGAGGTAATCCCACCACTGAGCTTAACTTTAGCCTCCAATCTTCCTCTAGCTCACCAACATGTCCAATTACTTCATTTCCTTCTTAGAACACATCAAAACATCTAATTATTAATTAAATCCTAGCTTTAAAAAAACACTAGCTTTTCCACAATTAACCAAATCTTAGCAATCTAACTATTTAAGCTCAAATCCTTTATTAACAAGCTAAACCCATACATTAGAAGCTGAATTGCACAAGTCTTAGCTCTAAATTCTCCAATCTAAGCCAAAGAGGAAAAATTACCAAATCTGGAGAAAAGTCAGATTTTGAAATTATTAACTGATTAAATGGAAAAATAATTAGTAAAAAAATTAAGTCTTACCTCCAAGATAGTTTCTCAAGCTCCAAATAGCCTTAAATGGCTTTAAAAATCAATTTGGGGGTTAAGGTTTTGAGTTTTCTAGAGAAAGAAAGGGAGAGAAAAAGTTGAAAGTGAGATGGAGCGAAAATGGCCCAAAACCTTTTTTTATTTATGCCTTTTCTCATTGATGTATCGATACATTTACCTGTATTTTGACTAAATGTATCGATACATTTCAGGCAGAATGGTCCTAGGTGCTCTTTTCTTTAAATGTATTGATACATTGGAGCAATGTATAGATACATGTCAATCAAATTTCCAAATCTTTTGATACATCCTCAAATATATCGATAGTATTCCTTTAAAACACCTCATATTGTTCTTCTTGCCAAGAATGTATCGATACATGAGGGGATGCATCGAAACATCTCCCCCTGTAAGCAGTTTTAAGCTTCCAAAACTTTCAAAAATCTAAGTTTAACACCCCAAAATCACTCTCTATTAATATCACACCTTAAATCATTCATTTAACTTCATTCCATACACATTAATTCGCAAATATAATATCAAACTTAGATCAAACTATGGGATTTATCACATATTTCCTCAAAATTTACCTAAGTGCCCATTTATCTATATATGTATCCTTAAACACTTAGCATACATAACATGTTATGAATGAACTTAATTTACATTGAAAATTGGGGGTGTTATAGTAACCATCGAAGTTAGAGGAGATTTCAAGTCATAAGAAATAATTAAAAAGCCAAGATCCTTCATTTCAAAATGTTGACTAAGTTATTATTGTAATTTTCCCATACAAGTATTGTATTGACCAGTTATAATCATATCATTGATATAAAGAAAAAGAAGAAGAAGAAGAAGAATGCCATGATCAGTAAACTGGAATAATAATATAGAATCATTTGGCTAAAAGTAAAACCAAGTTGAGCAATACTGTTACTAAATTTTGCAAACTAAGC